GAAAGAGAGAAAAAAACATAGAAAAAGAAGAGAGAGAGAGAGAGAGAGAGAGAGAGAGAGAGAGAGAGAGAGAGAGAGAGTGTGTGTGTGTGTGTGTAAGAGCTTGTTTTATTCCTTTTAGAAGCAATTTGTCAATAAATAATGAAGCCAAAATTATTTCCCCATCTCCCAAGTAGTTTAATAAGACATAAAAGACTGTAACTGAGCCAGGAAGTGGTGGCATTTCCCTTTAGTCCCTGCACTTTGGGGGGCAGAGGCAGGCTGATCTTGATGGGTTCAAGGCCAGCCTGGTCTATAGACTGAGTTGTGGGAGAGTCAGAGTTACACAGAGGGGGAAGAAAAAGCAAAAAAACAAACAAACAGACAAAAAAAAGAAAAAAAGAAAAAGGTCACTGATACTGTATCAAACTTTGCAGCTGTATCTATCAAGGAGAAGGAGGCAATGCTCATTTACCAGGCAGACTTACAAGTTTATATTGAAAAGAGAATGTTTACAAATTTCACTATATAGTCAATCAAAAGTTGCTTGATGCAATCTATAAAAACAACACTCTTTAAAAATTTAAGTGTTCATTATACTTAAAACAGATTAAAAAATTTTTTACCACATTGGGTAGCAGTAGGTATTGACAAAAGATTCCAAACAAAAAGATATTTTTATATAAATTAAGATGTATTTCTGTATTTAGATAGTATCTCAGAGACTATTTAAAGAATGACAAAGAACTTACTGGGTGAGAATCTCCCAAGTCACGAAAGGTTCCTTTTTTCCCCATTAGCTTCCTGTAGACAACCATGGGAAAGTGGACATCCAGTATACAGTTATTGTAAATAGCCAGACCGAGGACTATGCCAATCAGAGTAAACTGACCCTCGGTTTCAAAGGAAGATGGATTAAACCAAAATAATTTTGTGGCTTCATCATATGTGAACATACCTATAAAAAATAAGTTTTAAAATAATTTGTATTTTTGAAAATCTAAAAATTTAAAAATAATTTTAAACAAAATAAGACAAAAGAATTTTAATATAGTAGATATGTTTTTGCTATTGCATGCATGTGAGAAAACTGTACAAATATAGTAACTGATTATCATTAAGTGTATTAACTAGTGGTATACAACTCTAAGAAGCCAACAAAACAAAATATGAAATTTGGGTGACATTCCTGGAAAGGTATTTTTAAAAAGTTTTATTAGGTTATTCAAGGCTTATCAATTTTCATTGACTAATGAAAGGTTAATTTACAGTCATATTTTAGCCACTCAGATGACTGAAAAGTACATAAGAAGCAAACTCATGATCAAGTACAAGAATTAGATAAAGTTGATTAACTTCCAGTTACTTAAGATACATAGCTAATGTGAGCTAATAGTTTTAAAAACCAAATTTGTAATATTTCATCTTTACATAATCACCATTATTCAAGATCTAACTTCAAAGACATTTTTTCATATCATTATTTCATCTAAGGGAGCAGAAATAGATTTGTCTTCTTTTTTCACTGAACATTAAATACAAAAATATTTTAAATAAATCCATATGCGTTTTAATTTTTCTAAATTCATTTTCAGTTGCCTCTCAGGAAACACTTGTAAATTAAGGTTTAATATGCTGGGGGAGAGGGGATTGCACACCTTAGCACTTGGAAGAATGAGGCAGGTGGGTCATGAGTTTAAGGCCAGAATGCACGAATACAATATAAAAAGACTGTCCACAAAACCAAAACCAAGAACAAAGTAAACAAATCAAAGAAGGCTTGGGCAAAGAAACTTTTAACCTAATGGAACATTTCTCAAAACCAAATAAAACAGCATTAAAATGTGCTTCTAAGTTCATTTTGAAAAGATTTAAAACTTTTCATTTTCAGTTTTAATGAAAAGAAAAATACAATTTTCTCTTTGACCTCTATACTTCTTTTTGCAATTTAATATTTGTGAAATACTCGTTTTAAAATTATCCAACTCATATTTGAGTTCTACAGTTTGAAAAATATGTATACATGTATGGTTATTTATTTGCAAGCCAAGTTATAGATCCACAGAGTATCAAAAACTCCAATTGACAAGCAGTAAGTGGGATAGAATGTCACAAATGGATGATTTTGGTTACAAGAACAATAAGCTATAAATTATCCAGTGTCTAAAATTCATAAGCCATTATTCTCATGCCTTCAGTAGCTTCCAATCCTCCATTCCAAGGTTTTCCAAATTAAATTTACCAAAAAGGTAATTGTCATCTACCAGAATATTTGGTTAATTAATCTAAGAAATAAGGTAAATACAGCAGTAGACAGATCAGTTCCTGAAGCATACACATTTGTTATCTATAATTACAAGTAAGCCATATCCAATTCTTTTGCTGTTCATCATAGCTGAGAATCTTCATAAAACCAAGTTCATAATTCAAAAGACTAACATGTCATCATCATATCACTAACACTTACCAATATCTGGATTAAAGATTTCCTCCACAACCAACTGAAAAAATTCTTTGGAAACACCTCCTTCATCCACTCCTTGCTCTCCTTCAAATTCCACATACAACTGCTTCTTCAAGTCTGCAGGATTTTCCATAGCAATCATCTCCAGCTGTTCAATGAAAAGATAAAGAAGAGGACCAATTATAATAGGATAAAAGCTACATGCAAGTAGAAGAAAACAAGGACTATTAACAGGAAACAATCTTGTTTCTCAATGGAAACAAGAAGCAAACTGACCCCCCAAAAGAGTATGGCAGAGTGCTAGGGACATGGCTCATTAGGTAAAAGCACTTTATCTGCAAGCATTAAAACCTCAGCTGGAATCCCTAGCATTATGACCATTCGTGCCTTCAACACTACTTAATACCTGCAACATGGTGGGGAAAAGGCCACAACTCTCAGGATTGCTAGTTAGCCAGCCTAGACAAAATGGTGAGCTTCCAGTTCACTCAGATATCTTATTATCTAAAAGTGGAAGACACCTGTCATCACAGACTGGTCTCCAGATGTTCACACATGAGTACACACATCAGCACATTCATATGCATGAACCACAAACATAAACCACACAACACATACACACAAAACCACCATACATAAAATGGTTACTTCTAACTTGGTAACTAAATTTTCTATTATATTTTATATAATAAATTAATATAGTATATAGAACAAGATATGAGAACAAATTGAGGCAACAAAATGCCTAATTGACTACTCATATTGTCATTTTAGCAAAAGAAAGCATAGAAATGTGACCTATACATTGTTTACTAGTAGAAAGTATATAGTGGATCTATGAATAATTTACATTTATTGGAAGGGAAATGTAGAGTTAAGCCTTCCTAACTGCCATGTTATAAGTGAAATAACTTCAATTAAGAAATATACATTCGAAAGCCAGATGTGGTAGTTCAGGCCTATGAAACAGGAAAATCCTAAGTTCTAGGAAATCTTGGAATACATATCAAGTCTCTGTTGTTAACACAATTCCCCTCTGCCAAAACAAATTTATACTTATTGCCACTTCTCAGTGGATTATAATGTCCCATACAACATCCACATTTTCACAAAGGCAGGTGAAACATACACTTGCTATCTTTTTTTCTTTATCTAACAATTAGCCAAACCTGTTCCACTAGTATTAACTTCAGTCCATTAGAAATTAATATTAAATCCTAATGTGTTGGGTTTAAAATGTAATTTGGTTCTCCTATTTCAACTTTGCATATAGTATTCATAACTAATTATCCAATTTATTTTCAATATTGTTTCCAAACACCCGTTGGCTTAAAAAAATGACAAAACAATATTTAAGGATGTTAAAGTTTTTCTTAACTATTCCAAAAGGAACTTTTAAAATAGGCTTGAAGAGGGCAGGAGAGATAGCTCAGAGGTTAAGAGCACTGACTGTTCTTCCAAAGGACCTGAGTTCAATTCCCAGCAACCACATGGTGTCTCATAACCATCTATAATGAGATCTGGCGCCCTCTTCAGGCGCCAGGAAGAACATTGTATACGGAAATAAATAAAATCTTAAAAAAAAAAAAAATAGGCTTAAAGAATGTAAATGGCACTGGAATAAGTATACTAGCTCCTTAAAGCAAATGCCATAAGCAACAATAGTTTTTGGTATCCTAAGTGTCTATAAAAAATAAAAGTAGAATCTCATAAATTTAAGAATCTGGCAGAGATACCCTAGATCTAAGTTTTTAAAACTGCTAGCTGCAATAGTTTGCAACCAGTAGGAAATAAAAAGCAAACAAAAACAAAAAACCACCACCACATCTAATTGTACCTACTGTTTTTAGCCAGATAAATTTCAATATACAGATATATATTTTATTTAGGATACTATATTTTTTTTTCTTAGTAGGGGATGCAGCCAAAACTTTTTGAAGGAAAAAAAAAAAAAAAAAGCAAATGGTTCAAATTACTTCCTGAATATCTTCAACTTTGGGGGTCTAGGATACTATGAATTTATTTTTCTAATTATCTCTCTCTTGGTCTTGTTTAACTCATTTGTATGTCTTCATGGGTGTAGACACACATGGGTGATTACACCTCAGCTGTTATTCCTCAGGACCTGTTCACCTTGCTTGTCAATGAAGGACTGAAGATCAGAATAGGCTGTACTGACAGTCAGGGTGCCAATACCGGACTACCTAGCAACAGGATTACAATGCCCACTCAATTTTCCTTTTTTTAAACAGGGTTTTGGGGATTAAACTCGGGTCTACTTGAAAGTGCTCTAATAACTAATCTACCCTCAAAGCTCACAACATTATTTTCAGATCAGTTTTTATTGAAAATTTATTTTTGAGGCTATATTTTGTTTCTGAACATATAAGAAACCAAATACTCTTTACAGACCCTGTCACTAAAGATTAACATTTAATTATTAAGTTTTAGTACATCAAGCCAACTTTCTAATGTACAAAGAAAAGAGGAGATAATACTCTTCCTACTAGAAGATGGTAAAAGCTTAGGAATATATAATTTCTATAAAGCATGCACAATTGGTAAGAACTAATATTATCCTTTAAAAATATAGTACTATTTCTTAAAATTCATAACTTTATGTCTTCAAAAGATCAAAAGACTAGTCCTGAGACTCTACGGTCATAAAACATGTAGATTCAAAATTAACCTTCGAAATGGAAAAGAAAAGCATACCAACAACAGTGCTAATTGAAAACTTGTCAAGACAGAATAACTTTGAACATTTGAATTTCACTGATTCCACACATTACTGTCATTACTGTGTAATATATCTTAGTGATTTCTCGAAGTTCTCTCTCAACTTGCTAAAAATTTAAGAGATTTAAGTAAATTTTCATTTGCTTTTCCATCACTAAAGTGAAACTGTTTTGAACAAATATTACTAAATAGTAAAAACGCCTGATATTATTTATGCATTTGAATGCTATTTCTAGTAAAACATATAAATTACTGATTCAAAAGCTTGTTGGTATTCTTAGCCCATTATGATTCTAATAAGACAGTATATGTCTGTCCATTTCTATCAATCTCTTCTCCTTTATCCCAAATACTGGTTACCTGAGCATTTAATACTGTATGTTCTTTTATGATGGCTGAAAACAAAATTTTCCCTCTTTTTTGCTTTGCTTTGAAATGTAAAATAAACATAATATAGAATCAAATAAATTAATATATGAAGTGCTCTAACATTAACTATAAGTTAATGTTAACTTATAGTTAACATTAAGTTAACATTAATTAAACATTAACTGTAAGTTAATGTTTGTGGCTGCAGGCCGGTGAGGGCTATATAGTCATTCTCTAAAATAAGATTAACAAATAAATAAATATTTTCAGTTAGTCAGAGAATTTAACCACAAAATTTTAAAGGCAAAAATATTCCAGGAATAAGGGTAGCAGAATTACAATATAAAACTTATGGATCACTTTAAAATAAAAATCATCTAGAAAGTAGGGTGCTAACCACTTTACAGATGGGTCTTTGAAGTAATAAAAGGGCTGAGTAATTTAAAAACTAGTAACTCAGCGAAGAGGGATTGTAATCCGGGCAGCAAGCTTTAGAATGCAGTTACTTCTCCACAGAAAGTAGAGCTAATGTTTGTTTTTAGCTTTTGTGTGCCTTTTTACTTGCTTCTTTGGCTTTTCACATTGTTATCAATACTCAACATATTATTTGCAGAATCAGGATGTATTTGAATGTTATAATTTAAAAGTAGTTAGCAACTTAATTCTCTGTAGGTGGAAGTGTCCGATTAGCTATTTAAGAAGACCATTCTCAATGTGCCAAAGTGATTTTGTAATTACCTTATTTCAGGATACTGCACTAGCTGCCTATCTTTTTAAAAACTGTGGCAACAAAAAAAAAATATTTAATAATAACCTTTCACATAAGCCATTATCATAAGTCACATTAATTTTTTTCTTAAAAATAATAATCCTTAAAGCCTACCACACATGTACCTTAAGCCATTATTTCATCAAAGACTAATTAGTGTAGGAATTAAAATTATACAGTTTTATTACTTAATAGCTTTTATTTAAAACTAAATTTGTAAAAATCATGTTGTTTTATATGTAGATGAGTATATGAAATGAAAACTGTTGGGATATGTCAATTTTGAAAAAAGTCTGTATGCATTTTTTGACCTCATTTATTATACATCAATGGATTTTATATGTATTTATATTTCTTGAAACATAAAATAGATAGTATTGCCTTAATAGATAGTACTAGAGAAAAATACAATACACTGGTGTTATTATACTGTATTAAAATATTGCAGTAACTACCACTTCCTAACTAGGCCTCTTTTCTGATTAGGAACTCTCACTTTCATCGACTGTTAAAATAATTTTAAATTCCTTAACTTTTAATTGGCAAGACAAAATTCTAGAGAGATCATTTTTTATATCATGACCTGATATAAAAGCATTTCCAGAACTCTAAGATGATATATTGACACAAAACATTCTATTTCCATATCTTCAAAGAGCAAAACAATTGTTTTAAGTCCATCATGTAAAATATTTAGAATATCCCAAATTACTACTTCAAATCCTATGTAGAAAAATAACTAAGAATTATTTAAGTAGAAGCAGTAATTCAGATTAGCTCAATAGTGCTAAGATTCTCCAAGAAAGGTGTTTTACATACTTTGGTAAATAACACTAAGATAATGATCACAAATGCAATTAACTTAATGAATTTAACTTTTTCATGTTATCTGTAAACAAATGAAGACCAGACGGCTGTGTCTTAACGTTTAAGTGGGTTACAGTTGAGTCAAATGATTACATCTTAGGTTCTAAATGGAATTATGACATTCATTTCTGCAAATAAGAATATCTCTAAAGTTCATTTTTCTCACATGGAACACTAAGAAATTTGATAAATTTTATTATTTTAAATCGTTATATGATGCTGAGCCATTATGATACTGACTACTACTTCATTTTTCATTCTTGTTCTAAGAAATTACTTTGAAGACAAAGTGAAGATTCCATTCATTTCTATTAGAATAATTTTAAATAATAATAGTAATTACACTAAGCACAATTTAATCAATGAATGATTGATAGAATTAAGTCACAGCAGAGAAAAACCCCATTAAAGTACTGTAAGCCAACTGATGAGAAAACTCATGTTCATATACCAATAGGTATTTATACTGATGATAATTATGGAAGGCAAATTAGACAATGCTTCTAGACCCCTAATAAAAAGGGTTAGTGACTTTGAAAGGAAATTGGGCAGCAATTCTCACAAGTTTATCTTCCAGCCAATTTCCTTCATTAGTATATGCCAGGTCCTGGTTTTTGGACTTTCCTTTCCAGTTCCACATCTTAGCCATTCCTTTTGGTCTTCAAATTAATTATGTAAAATTCTAGAACTTACTACACTTACTCAAGTCCCATAAAACTATCAACTCCTATTTTCGTCACACCAACTTCATTATTCTTTTTAAATACTGGCAATGTTCTAAACACGCAAATTAAAATAGCCAATAACCTATACATATAAACTACTAAAAACATTTCCCAAATATTGGTGTGCAGCATAGATGTACCAAAATATCTAAAGTACAGACTTCAAAGCTTCATATCAGAATCCCTAATCTGATACCCTAAAAGGCAAGACTTTGAATTTTGCCTTTGGGCAACTCTCTAGGCTGTGAGGGCAGTCTGAAGCATCTCACATATAACAATACTGTCTCTTCCTTGGTACATATAATCCTGATCTCCTACTCCTTTATAAACAACTTTTAAGATTTTACATACACTACATCCCTCAAAATGCTCTGTTCAAAAGGGAGAGAGAACATACATTACTTGTTGAAAGCAAGGAATTCTGTAAACTGGTACTAGTCAAATATAGATATTATCTAATGAATTACGATTTATAACATGTCAAAGCATAAAACCAGTTGACAAGAGCAATATTCATGGCAACAATTTGTTAGCATAACTACAAGGCTTACTGTAATTTCATTCCAACACCTCTTTAGGAAAAGAACTTTAAATACAAAAATGGCTAATTTTCTCCTAAAAGATAACTTTTAAAAATATACAACTACTATCCATTTTTTTTACTGTTTCTTACCATCACTATATTATAGAAAAAAAAGGAGGAAAGGAAGAAAATAACAAAGAAATTAGGTAGGAAAGGTGGATAATTTTGGTTAAATCTGAATTTAGTTCAGTCTTAATGACATTTCAGATGTAGACAGATCTATACTAAAAAAAATACATTTTCAAATAAATATTATTTGTTAGTTATCTGTTACAGGTTCTTATTATTTGTTGGTATATAAGGGTGATACTTTAATTGTAACAGGTACTAAATTTTACATCACCTTCCTAGAAAAAGAACTAGCACTGACAGGAATAAGTAATACCATAGAATAAAGCTCTGAATTTCTTAAATATAATTCTGTAAAAATATGATCAGCAATCAGCAAACCAATTTTCTGGCTTAATTGACAGGGACACTGCAATTTTTGTCATTCCAGTCTTTGAAAACAGATTTTTCTTCTAAGTGGAAACAAATGGGGCTGGCTTTCAGTATTTAGAAAATACATTACATTTTAGTGTTTTTTTTTTTTTTTTGGAGAGAGAGAGTAAGAGGGGAAGGGGGAGAAAGAGAATGTTCAATGGAGAAAATGCATGTGTGGAGGTCAGAGCACATACAAATATCAGTCGTTGCCTTTTACCTTCTAGTTGTTCCCACTTTATATAACAGGCTACCTGACCCACAAGCTTTTGAGGGTTCTGTCTGTACCTTCCATCTTGCTTTAGGATTTGGTATTACAAATGGTGCTATCACATCATGTTTTACACATGTTCAGGGAATCTAAGCTTAGGTCCTCATGTTTTCACAGCAAACTTTACCCACTGAGTCATCTCTCCAGTAACTGAAAATCCACTCTTTTTCAAAAAGAGAATAATCATTAGATTAAACAACCAGTATAACTAATAATTTTGTTGAGTGGCAAGAAAGGTGTAGTAATATAGATCAGAAATACCACAGATAAAATGAATACACTGAAATATGTCACATTGTAGCTTTTACTTTAATTCTGATTTTAAATAACAGTCAAACTTACCCGGACAAGTGCATCATCTATGATATGATCACGCCTGACTTTGAGTCTCAAATATGGATTCAACTGCTGTCCTTGAACTAGGCTGTAGAGAACAGTGATTCTGCGTTCACTGTACATGCGAATTCTATTATCGTAATATAATCCCAAATTCTTTGTGACAGCATTCAATATAAAGGGACAGGTCATGAATGAGAATTTGTTTTCTGTTTCAACTTTGAAAAAGGTATAATCTTTATCCATTTCTAGAACATCATTCAGTGGTTCGTTAATGAATTCTTCAAAGGAGATAAGTGGTTTTCGACAATCTAGAGTCTTAACACCAAGTTCAGTTTCTATTGGGTCCACTCGAGGGCCTTTCTTGTTTCTTCTATCCTCTCCCAAAAGCTCCTGCAGTGTCAATTCACTGGACTCAGGTATGGGCTCTTCATCTTCTTCCTCATTGTGATTTGTGTCTACTTCCCCTCCTACTACATTTGCATAGTAAACCATTTTCAAACACTTTGAAGCAGCAACAATGGAATCATCATCATTCACTAGATTTCGGCTATTAAATTCATTGCTTATGACTTTGTAAGTAATAAGTTGCTGAAATGTTTCCATCATTCTCCGAATATGGTCTGCACTATATTTAGACCAAAGTCTAATCAGTTTTCCTTGAGCTGCAAGGGGTAGCTTACACATAGCTTTGCAAAATAATGGCAGGGCCATTTCCAGATATTCAGGACTGTGGAGGTTACTATTCTCCATTACAATAATGAACAAATTGAGATAATTAGGATCTCGGGCATACACACTATGATATGTCAAGTCACATTCCACGTTAGGTGACAGATATACAAGTGCATTGAGAAAGGCAGTTTCTAATTGTTCATTAGCGAGCAAACGGGCGTAGACCCTTCTAATGGCATCAATATCCACAGTCACTTCATCAGGACCTAATTTTTGTACATTGTTGTCTCCCTGTGAGCTATCACCCATCCTTGAAGAAGATGCTTCTGAGTCTTCTTCCATAGCAGCAGCAGCGGCAGCGGCGGCGGCAGCGGCAGCGGCGGCGGCAGCAGCAGCGGCGGCGGCAGCAGCAGCAGCAGCAGCAGCAGCCTTTTCTTTTTCATCTTCATCCTTGTCTTCATCCTTTTCTTGAAGAGATTTCAATTCCTCCTTAGTGTGTTGTTTGACTTTCCGAAAGCTCAGAACCAATGCCTCAGCACTAGAAAAAATTCTTCCAATTACTCGAATTAAAGGGGAGTAATCATCACTCTCTGTACATACGTCAAGAATTTCATATACTTTCTCTTCAGTTAGGTAAATCACATCTAAAAAATGGGAAGAAAAAGAACATTTATTGTTGTAACATACACGTTTATTTTGTCGTAATAAGTCTTAGCAGAAAAAGCAAAATAGCTAAACATTCTGAGCTCGAAGAGTTAGAAATTTTCGAAAATAAATCTAATTTACCTATCAACACACTACATCTAGAAATTCCTTTTTCATTTAAGTACTACCAATAAACTCACCCTTTCTTTGGCATTCAACAGCATATAATTATTAAAAATGTCATGCTTTGAAATCAAGACATGTATTAGTATGTTTTATAGGTATGAACATACATATATATTTGGTATTTTATCAATATACTTTATTACAACCTTGATTAAGAGCTACTACACTAACATACTGAAAGCATTTTCCCTTGCATTGTTCTCAAAAGAGTAAGGAGGCGAAGTTTTATAAGTGTTCCTCAATGCAACTCTTTTTCTACTTCCATATATATTAAAATATATATATATATATGCCTTCCAGCACTTACAAGGCAGAAGCAGGTGGATCTTTGTGAGTTCAGAAGAGTTCTAGGATAGCCAAGACTGTCACACAGAAACACCTTGTCAGGACCCAGCCCCCCCCCCAATAAAACTAACAAAAACTGCTTCATTATATGTACTACTCATTTCTTACAGGGTTTCTATTTTGTGACTGAGGAAAAGATACTACTACTCATGCAAACTCTTACATTAAAACTGCTGCTACTGCTACTACTACCTGTTACCATGATTAGAGGCAATTAAAAACAAGTGGGGGAGAAGCTAAGAAAGCAAAGACCAAAAGGACCAAAAGTACCAAAATTTATGTCTATTTTCTCTCAGGCACATAATTGGGATCATAAGCTTTCTAGCTTCCTTTATCTTTATAGTAAATGTCACTTTCAACAAAGGCTTTACCCTTTTTGGTTAACAAAAGATATTTTATATTATTGAAAAAAAATAAATGGCATTATATATACTAAAATTTAGAAATTAAATATCAAATAATAATGCTGAAACCAAACTTAATCCTTTCATAGAAGAGTACTATTATCTATAATCATTAAATTGAATATTTAAGGGAGGATAATCTTACAGTTATGTTGAAAATCCATCCCTACCTTCACTGTGCCAAGTATTTCCTTATATACATTCAGCAAGTCAAAATCCTTTGTTTAAAAAAAAATTATTTATTTTACATCCTGGCTGTAGTTTCCCCTCCCGTTTCTCTCCTCCCAGTCCCTCTCCCTCATTCCCCATCTGTTCCTACCCTGAATCCACTCCTCAGTTTCTGTTTAGGAAATGACAGGTCTCCCATGTATATCAACAAAATAATAGCATGTAAAAATCTTTACTGTGATTCATACATATTATTCAAGGTACCTTCTCAACAATAAGAGACAATATAAAATTCAAGTCATCATCGATGTAATGGTTTCCAAAAGATAAACCATGAAGCACTACACTTTATATTTTAAAAACCGGACCTGCGGCCTGTTTCAAGAATATCAACACTTGTTTGTTTGATGTCTTGAATTCTTTCTTGAAAAAAACTGTTTTTTTACATATTTATCAGGGGTAAGGGAATGATATCTATTTATTAGGGGTAAGGAGATGGCAGATGTGGTGGTGGGAGGATAACCTGAAGGAGTTGGTTTTCTCCTTCTACAATGTGAGTCCTAGTCATCAAACTCAAGCCATAAGGCTTGGCAGTAGGTACATGTACCTGCACGAACCAGCATGCCAATCCAAGCACTAATTCTTCAGTTTCTAAGAATAAGTAAGTATGAAAGCACTAACATGAAGTTTATTTCTCCTTATTCTAACTGAAAAATATTATGGTATCTTCTTTGATCATTCAAATCTATCTAATTTCTCTGCAATGATACCAAAAACATGAATAAACGCCCTTTTAGGAGATAACATGTTTGACCCATAACATGCCAATATTTGTTCCAAGTAGTATCTGCTTCAAATGTTTAACTGACAACTCGCTCTCTCTCCTCTCTCTCTCCCTGCTTCCACCCTCTGTGTGTGTATATATATAAAAAGCACTGCAATCAGAAATAAAAGCAGTTATAGTTTGGATATCAATGAACTCAAGATGTTCCTTTCTTAGCTTCCTGAATACCTGGCCTACAATGCCACTAGACTTATTTAAAATAAATTCTTAAAACATAATATTTTATACTCTAAAAAGTACAAAACAGCAAAAGTTTCATGTAAGAAAAAAGCTGTCATACACTAATTGATACATATACATCTAATTAGGTTGAACAAATACAATTATCAAAATGAAAGCAGTAATAAGATTATGCATGTATAATTCCTAGTAAAAATATTACAAAAATTTGAGTGATCCGCAAAACAAGAAATTTCAAAAAAGAACACATGGGCAAAAACAAGACTAATATATCCATTATGTACTAGATTTTCCTATAGCAGCTGCATTCAACCATGGTGGCATACTGTATTTCATTTACTGTTGTTACTCTGTGATGCCCCTCTGTGGCAGAAACACACAAAATGGAGCCAACACAACTTTCATATTCAACATATTGATAGCATTCATCTATTTATTGATATGTGAGCAAATTCATGAAAAAGGACTGGCTATATATTTTGAGTAGCAAAGTTTCTGATTGTTCTATAGTTCTATTGTGGAAATAACAGTATTGAACATCCATGAGGGAAAAGTGGAAAGTTTTACAAGTTTCAAAATATTGGACCATTTTAAAAAGAACAGATTTTGGGGGGATATAGCTCAGTTGGTACTGCTTATCTTGCATGTAAGAAGACCTGGCTTCCATTTCAGTGAGTGCTCACCTGTGCATGCAAATTTGATTTCATTTTTAGTATGTAGTAAAGTTATATGCTTGCCAAAAATAAATAATAATAATAATAATAATAATAATAAGTGACATACTGGAAGACAAATGTCACACAATTTCAATTTTATGTGTAACCTAGAAATGATGAACTTATGGGAGCAGAGAGCAGAATTGTGGCTATTAGGCTTCAATGTGGGTCTTTTAGCAACAAGGAAATGATTGGTTTAAGGATATAAAACTGCAGTTGGACAAGAGGCATGGACTCTGTGATGTCTTGAGGTCTACTGAGAGCATGATAAATATGGTTGATAACAATATGCTATATTTTAAAAGTTGTGAGATAGTATACTTTAAGTGTTCTCAAAACAAAAATGATGAATATGTGTGATATAACATGTTAATTGGTTTAATTTAGCCATGCCATTGTGAACATACTGTATTATGTATCATAATTGTGAATGACTTTATTATGAGCTAAATAAATGAATGGAAAAAAGAAAAAAAGCCTTAAGACAGTCTCCCGTACAAAACAAAATAAAAAGTTCCAACAAGACCTGAGACCCTTGTGAGGATATCAAATGCCCGAGTTATAGAAGGTTGTATATGGAAAGGAAAAATTCATTTTTTAGGTAACTATTGCAAATATTTCCTTGTCCTTTAAAATAGGAAAACAAAGACTGCCTTACATTTTTTTTTTTTTAATATCTACCTCTTATACTACAGTCCCTGGAGTTTCAGACTGCATACCAGGGTTCACTGTAAATGCAAAATATGTAGTAAACTTGTGGCCTAAGAAGCTATTAGGTACAATGGAAATTATTACAAGTTGAGATCAACTCATTTACATATCAACATTTAGAGTATAATCTGCTTTTGACTAAGAACTACTATATCAATAAAATGCAATAAAGTAACTAATTCAATTATAACTGTTCATCACACCTTCCCAAAAGAATGGTTTTTACTATACTGTGATATCTTTAGGTCACAAAGAGGCAAGAGAACAAATGCAACACTTTTAATCTCTGATACAGCTTTTAATTAACTATTTTCAATTGAAAAGAGAATCTCTTACCTTTATAATCAGATTTAGCTCCTTTTCCATCCTTGTTCGTTTTTACCTCTGAGTTGTTAGTTGCACCTTTTGAGTTCTCAAGGTAGGCTGAGCTTGCTCCTTTCTTGGAGGGATGAGGATCACAGAGTTTTGCATTAATTTTATAAAGCTCAAGGGCTTTAATAGCTGCTGAATTGTTATCCATACGAAGAAAAGTTGGACAGGAAGCACAAAACTCATTCGTGCAGGCCTCATTTCCACAGCCCTCAGTTAACTGGTGGTAGTAGCGTTCTATTAGATGCTTTGCAGCTGCTCGCTTCCTGTACCAGACATTCAAACAATAAGCACAGTGATTAATATTGCTCAAAAACAAAGCCCAACAGATAAGACAAAAGTTAGCTAAGCGATGAAGCAATACACTAATTATTTAGTGTTAACTAGTGATAATACTTTCCATGAAATTGTGATAAAATATGTCATCTTATAATAGTTATCATTTTAACATAGTATGCTTTTCGTTGGTTATAACATAAGATTAATTTGATGGTATATGATCCTTTAACTGTTTAGCACAACAACTAAAATCATAAAATCTTAAATGCATCACTATGCTACACCTCGATGTCAGTTTTCCTTTTCGTCATATATAAAATTACTAATTCATTCTAACGACTCTCAAATAATTAATTTGCAGTTAGCACCAAATTTCTAGAGTGTAAGAAAAAAGAAATTTTCTCAATTATCAATCACAAGAGATTTAAAAGGGAACAATCTAAATGTCATATTATACCAAGGGAAAGCAGAGCCCAGACTTGTCACTTAACCCTCTTCATTAAATCCTTGTCATAGGAAAGATAAAGCTTTTAATTTCCATTAGGGCAATCTGATATTCATCTTATTTCATGAACTTTAAACATGCAGATTAACATTCAATTATCTTTTTTTTTTTCAGGCAAAGTGATCAATAAAATTTAAGGAATGAATTCTATCACCAACCAAGAAGTTGTTCTACATAATCTATCTCTGTACATTGACACTAAAATTCTATTCTTTGAGATTACCATAGTATAAATACAATCATAGTCCACAGTAATATAATCAAAAATTATCCTTTTGAATCTAAATTTATAAGCATGAGAACTGCAAACAGGAAGAATCTACCTACTTTCATTCTTAAAACTCCATGCCAATATATTGCTAATAAATAGAACTAAGTGACCAATGGCACTAGAAGTGAACAAGTAAATAGGGAACTGATAAGTCTTAGAACTATGACTCCAAACACAGGCAGATAGCCTAGACTTGTATGTTCAAAATACCAACACATTCAGGTGCTTATTATATTTAGTAGTTTTTCCTATGCATTTACCACTCATAGTGTGCAAACAGAGAACGACCCACAGGCCAAGCCTGATGACCTCAGTTTGAGCCTGGATCCCACTATGTGAAAGGAGAGAACCAATTACCATGAATTGTCTTCTGATCTCTACACACACAGCATAGCATATGTCCAGTCACAAACATCCACAAAAATAAATAAATGTAATGAAGTTAAAATGTATTATGAGTTAGAGATCCCACTTATGGAAAAAAAAAAAGTGGTCAATTAAGGAAGACATTATTTCCCTGTATATAGTGGAAAATCAACAAGCCTACGAACTGTGATCTGCTTCAAAAAACTGAAAGATTTTACCAAATAAAATAATTACCAACAGCCTTCCGCTATATTCCTAACATAACCAGTGACCAAATCATAGATGTAGGATTAGCATGTTTGTTTCAAAATATAATTTTCCGAATGACATGAATTCTTTCATGTTTTTTATTCTAGCTGTTTTCTGTAAGTATGCACTTAAATAATAAAAAAATTACTGATACCAATGAGGAAGAAGCAGTTTTAAAACTCCATCTACATGATTTGAAGAGTCCCAAAGTTCATTTATGTATCCATTATTTATTTAATTTTAAGGTTCAAAATACTAAATACTATTTTTCTTAAGAATACTAAGTTTTGTCTAGAGATAAGCCCATGTAGAAGCCCCCTCTGTGTGTGTGTGTGTGTGTGTGTGTGTGTGTGTGTGTGTGTGTGTGTGTGTGTGTGTGTGTGTGTGTTGCTTCTCTATGAGGTAAATAAAGAAAAGAACTGTTAATAAAGTTGGGCAGTGGTGGCACAGACCTTTAATCCCAGCACTCAGGAGGCAAACACAGGTGGATCTATGTGATTTCAAGGCCAGCCTGGTCTACAGCCTAGTTCCATACAGGACAGCTAGGGCTGTTACACAGAGAAACCTTGTCTCAAAAAACCAAAAAACAAAGAACTGTTTAATAGTGGAAGGAGAAATCAGAACATCTCAGAATCTATCTCCCATATAATCAGTTGTATGATCTTAAGCAACTAATTGTCTTGATCTCAATTTTTATTATCTTGAGTTCTTTAACTTGTCTAGCACTCAATATCCAGTAATAAACACAGTGCATTGCCAGGTACACTGATTATCTCGAAAAACTTGACCTTGAAGATTATCTTCAGTCTATAGCCAGTAAGAGAGACAAAACTGAAAAAGTCAAATGTTGTAATTGAGATCTTATGCCTAGGACCAGAAAAGGAGTCAGCAAGACTTCCACCTTCAGAATCTAATTTATTTCCAAGCACTGTTTTACAAATGGTAATTTCAAAACAGTATGTATTTAGAACACAAAACCTTATCCTGTAAAAGATCTGATCTGAACTCCACAATCATGTGTACTATCTGGGTATAGTACAGGAATGTCCTGAATAAATAATATCAATATATTATATAAGTTAATATATCTGAAATAATGATATTTCTCAAATAACTAATAAAATATTATTCTTTATTAAAAACAAAAAATGTTACCTGCTATATACTGGGCCCTACTGTAAGTATCAGACGCTATTGCAATTGCTATAATTGCTATCATTTGCACAAGTATATGACTTGGCCAAAAGAACTCCACATTAAAGTTCAGAGGAATGACACAGGAAGCCACACATTTGATAAAGGATTAAAATAAAGGCTTGACTCCAAAATGTGAACTTTTAGTAATTTTAAAGGGACACTGCAGAGTAACTGGTTGAAATTGACCTGCTTTTCTGTGTACAGCTACAAACAGTAGCTCCATTAATAATAGTAAAAATTAAATTAAATAAAAAGAGGTCATGATAGAACCTCCAAGAAACTGGCAGAATCAACTATATTAACCACTATTCTTTTAACTTCATTCCTAATGATACCTTAACTTACCTAAATGCCATGTTCAGGGCACATAAAAGGCATATAGATTACACTCAGGACATCAGGACATATAAACAGGCTCTAAACTAAGAAACATGCTTTTGCTAAATTTCCTGTACAATGCTAATTTACACAGCTGAAGTCACTAAATTAGAGCTCTTGTGCCAAATCTAGACATCACTGCTTTTTTTTTTTCAGTTCAAGTTTAGAATATTTTGCATTTTCTTTTGGGGGGGGATCTGAGGGGTGGTGTTCAAGATAGGGTTTCTGTGTGAAACAGAACCCTGGCTGTCCTGACCAGCTTGCCCTTTATCAGGGATCCACCTGCCTCTATCTCCTGAGTGCTGAGATTAAAGGGATGAGTCACCACACCTGGCTTAGAATATTTTACATTCTTAAATTACTCAAAAGAAAAACAGTATTTTGTTTTCATATGTGAAAATTTGCATGGAATTTAAATTTCTATTTCCATACTTTCTAATATAACATAGCAAATTTTAATTATTTCTTATTTTCTGCATGGCCTCTGTCACTTGTATCTAACCAAAATAAGAGATGTGCTGACATAGAATCAATTCCCTCATGCACTCCAGTGAAACTTTCATCTAATCATCTGTTTTACCTAATTATCTGGCCTCACTTTCTCTTTCCCCTCAGCAGATGCATGGAGTTAAGATTCTTTTCTCCATATTAGAAAAACAGGGGGAAAAAAGGTGGTGGTGGAGGAGGGGCATCAAAAGAAAAGAAGAAAGTGAGGAAGAAGTCAGGATATGAAGTGAAGCCTTCTCCTGACATTTATAATCGAAACTTGGCAAAGAGGAGCTGCCAATTACTTTTAGCTTCTTCGCATTCTACTGACTTTTCTTGCAAACCAAAACAGTATATTCATTCCTTAATTAAAAATATGCCATTCTTATTTAGTCCATAATAAGGTTCAAGTGAATCGTGCCAGTGAGAGTACTCACTTAAAATAAACAATACTTTCCACTTGTTTATAGCTTTCTAAAAAGCAACTGGCAATTAAAGGAAAAATAATTCTCAATGTTCTCAGTAGCACTAATAACATTATTTGCTGACTCCTATTAATTCCAGTTAATTTCTGGAACAGTTGGATACTTAGCAATAGAAAATAAATTACAATAAAAATTTGTAAGTGATAAGATAATCATAAGTGTACAAGCAATGAGATTATAAACTAGGAGAATAAAAAACTCTCAAATAGTAGTTAAACATGGAAATCGGAAACACTGAATAGCTGCCATGAAAACAAGAGACAAAAGCTGAAAAATAAAAATGACTAAGAAAAATGTGACTTAAGCAAATAACTTTTTTTTCTCTTTTCCTTTTGTTTGTTTGTTTGTTTTTCAAGACAGGGTTTCTCTGTAGCTTTGGATCCTATCCTAGAACTTGCTCTGTAGACTAGACTGGCCTTCTGAGTGCTGGGATTAAAGGTATGTACCACCATGGCCCAGCAAAAAAATGACTTATTATATTTTAATTAAAGATAAACAGAATAAAAACACAAAGAATTGAAAAGATAGGAAGAAATACAATGGCCCAAGACTTGATTTGCCTGTGTATAAAGTAGTAAGCACTGCTTAGTATCTTTCATAGGTGAATGTCCCTTACTTTTAGAATATGCCTATGTAAAATTTATTCCTACAAGGTGTGGTGGCATATGCTTATAATAGTAGCCACATTAGACTGAGGCAGAAAGATCTTGAGTTTGAAGTTTGTATGAATACTGTGTGGAGGAACATGCTCCAAAATTACTTTCAATGTAGAAATTTATCAAGAATAAACAATGGTATCTTAAATAGAACACAGAGATATCCACAATACAGTTATAATCATTATCAGGCAGGGTCTATGAAGTGGCATCAAATGAAGTATTTCAAGACTGAAAGCACAAATATGACCCAATTATTTTAAAAAAAAAAAAACCACTTGGAAAGTCATTAAATATAACACAAGTCAGTTTTCATTTAAAAAAAAAAATACGTAAATCAACACTGAAAATTGTTTTAATCATCTCTATTGGCCAAATGACCAAGTGCTAGTTG